TGTCAGTAATTTGTTCGATTTTCGTCTGGATGAGGGTGGAGTTGTGAGAGAGGAGGGTCATTGTATAATGGATGAGGGTGATAATAAGATTAATTAATCCGGTGAATGGTCGGGGGGAATTAAAAGTATGGACTACTACCTTGAAATGGAACGGCGTGGTCGAATAGTAGAGCATACGACTGCTAAGTCTCGAGTTCGAGTCCGCAGAACGTCCCTGAGTAAACCCAACTCTATGGGTATCTAATTCACGTTAGGGAAGGTAAAGGAGGTTGGGTATGCTGCTGACCACAATATCGCTTCATATGCCGAGGTCACAGAAACAGGTGAACTCTACTTCACCTGCCCAAGGACCGTCAGATTTTAAATTGAACTTTGCTACCTTGAACCTTTTTATATATTTTACAAGTGGAAAAAATACCCAAAATCTGAAATGTTACCAGCTTTGATATCAAAACATCACAAATTTAACATTTTCTCAACAAAGGGCTAAAAATAGCTGGACGACAAACGTCCTTGACAACAAAGCCACGAGAGCTTACTGATCTGAGATAAACAAGAGAGAGAAAAACATGAAAACAAAAACTACACTCGTTTGTCTAGCCCGTCATACAAGAAAAAGTTGAGAATAATTGAATTCTCCGGAAGACGTAATCATAAACCCCGCCCCTCCCTCACCCCCGGGCTGGAGGGCGAGTCGTGTCGCGGGAGGAGCCTCATTCGATTAGTTATCTATACCCACGTGATGACCGTGCCGATAGAGCTGGGGGGGGGGGGAGCAAAAACTCCTACCCTAAGGAAATGCTCGAATCATGAAGGAAAGAATCGCGAGGGTTGAAATGTAGAACGAGATACGACTCACAGCGTTTCCAGCTGTTTGTCGAGAATCAATTTTGACGTCACTTCATATCCGGGTTACAAGATTTTTGTTTCTCAATTTTTCTAAAGTATTTTTCTTTTCTCAGTTTTCAAAAACCGAAATTTTAAATTAATTTATCTCTGCTCAGTTTTCAATCAAGCTTATATTAATTATTTTCCAATGCTCAGTTTTGAATAGTTTGTATTAATTATTATTCTCTGCTCAATTTTCACCGGGGTTTTTAAAAAGTATATTTACATATTTAAAAAAAACACACAGAGCAACTTTTCCAAACAAACAGTAGAAGCAGGGTAAATAAGACTAGGATGTGGAGCACTAGACAACCAAGACAGAAAACACCAAAGAATTAGAACAGCCATAGTATTTATGTCTATCTGTTGAAACTCTCCGCCCTAAAACCAGTTTGTACGCGTGTTTTTCCCCCACTAAAACTGTACTTTCGACTTCAAATCAGAATGAGACTTTAAACTTTTTTGTATTGATAAATACTAAATATTACAGTAATCCGGATGACTGGGGTTCAACAGAGAAAATATTTATAGCGCCAAGCAAACAGGAGGAAACCTCTTTAGCTGACCAAATATTAGACAAACAAGTGTCATCTATCCGTGGGTAAATAAGATTTAATTAGAAACAAATGTTCTCGTCATGTCCTCGGTACTTCTGACAGGATCGCATGATGTCGCTGTTGGTTTGGGATGTTGATCTGTTAATATAAATGTTGGACTGTTGATTCAAATGTTGTTGTTTTTTTTTTTTTTTATATTTAAGATGTAGGTCTAATGATTCAAATGTTGGACGGTTGATTCAAATGTTTGATGTTGATTTCGGATGTTTGTTGATTTGGGATGTTGGACTGTTAATTTGGGATGTTGGACTTTTGATTTGAGATGTTGGTCTGTTGATTAAAATGTGGGTTTGCTGATTTTGGGTTATTGTGCCTGTTCATCTGGGGTATTGGACTGTCGGTCTGTCGATTAGCTTAAAAATTATATTTGCTTCAACGTTTGTTTCCGTCGAGTCAACATATTCAATGTGATATCGCAGATATCACTTACGTAGCTTGGTATTTATAAAAGCTAATCGCTACAACAATATTATTTTTAAAACTACTTCACGGCAGTAGCGTAGCGAGGGGGGGGACATATGTCCCCGGGCGCCGACCTTAGGGGGCGCCAAAATGGGTTGGAAAAATGAAAGGTTGAGGGGGGTGCAAATCGAAATCTCGAGGGGGGGGGGGTGCAAATCGAAAGTTTGAGGGGGGGGGGGTGCAAATCGAAAAGTTTGTCCCCGGGCGCCGGGAAGGGTCGCTACGCCTCTGCTTCACGGGTCACTGAAAGGCAATATAGAGGCAGTGTAGAGGTTGGTTATTCTGTGGTGGTACCAATGGTAGGTTTACGGCCAGGGTTAGGGTAGCCAGATAAAAAAACAACGCTTCAATACGAACAGCTGGTGATGACAGAAGAAAAACCTAATAAACAGAACATAAACAGTTTGGTTCATCCAAGCCCTAGGAAGGCATAACTACAACAAAAGTAAACCATACACCATCTAACATCAATAAACACAAAAAATCCACAACTATATACTAAGTTGTGGGTGTCCAAAACAGATACCTTAAAAATATTCATTCATATAATATATATATATATATATATATATATATATATATATATATATAACCACCACCTGTCATCGCAATGAAAAAAAATATTTGCCATCACACCACATCTGTCTCAAACGATCTCATAAAAAAAAAACCGTCATTCCACCTGTTATACCCGTACTTTTTTTGCTTGACTGTATTCCAACTTAATTTCACATAAATAATACCGCCACCCTAACCCTATTTCAACAGTACCATCTTTGTACCACAACCGCTTAGTCCGACAAAATTTGTTTAACGGTCCATTTAACAGTTATTTGTAGCTTTGACAGTTCTAAAAGACGTTATACAATCTTTATATAAAGAAAATTGAACTTTTTTTTTCAAGTTCTTAAGCCGAGTCACCATTCAGATTATTATTTAAATCTTTCACCCGCCCCTACCAGCGTATAATGAAAACACCCCCCTTCCTCCCCGCGATCATGTTGGGAAACACCAGCAATCAGCCTTTAAATTGTGTTCACTTGTCAAACACTTGTTGGATTAAAGCCCTCCCCGCCCCCCTCGGTTCAAGCGGTAATACGGTTACTTTATTTCTCCCTATTCCTGACACGGGCTATGAAACGCCTGACAGCTGAAATAACGTCACGGATACCTTTGTGTGGGGTATTCACCCGTTATCTTTTCATCACCTATACCGTTACTGTTGCAATAATAAAAAAATCTTTCATTTAAAAAAAAACCGCCATTCTCACCCTTCTAACATCACTGGACAACGACGCCCATTTTTTCCCCACACAAGTTAGTTCCCACCTCGTCTCTCCCCTCTCTCCCGTATTTCTTGCATTGTGTCCATCTCTCTCCCACCAAACAAACCAGTGGCTTGGCTTGTTTCGTCCTCTCCCTCACGTCACGAGCCAACTGGCGAGGGCATTGACCGCTGTTGTACTGGTCTAAGTAATAACGACACATTATTTCCCAGGCAGCTAGTCCAGCTTAATCCCTGACCAGCCCCACCACCACACCCACACATACACACATCCAGCATCACACACAGCCTCTGTACTGTCTAACAACTCAAAGAAAAAAATCCTCGCCGTATGAAACAGAAACGGGAAGAAATAAACATACGCCAAGCAGCCAGTTGAAACACAACGGCGATAAACAACAATCAATAGCGGCGGCGACTATTTCTGTAGGGACCGAGGCTTGGCGAGTAAACATGCCATTCTGAGAGCGTCACATGGAGATAATTGCTGCCATTAGAACAAACGCATGCGCCAGGAGAATTTTAGACGGAGAAAAATGATTTTGTTGAAAGTAATGTGAGAACAGGTTTAAAAAACTCGAGCTTTGTTTTATTAATACATATTTGATAATGCCAAGTACTATACAAAACAATTACGTTATATTCATGACATATACAATTATACGCGTTATATAATCCACGTAATTGAAAATCAATAAATGTATATTTAAGCCATATGTATACGAATTTGAATTGTATTTACCCTATATGAAATCAGGTATGGTAAATTCAATCCGTAAGCATTAAATTAAGGTATATTCATTCTATCATAAACAGACAATTAAGCGAATACTCACTTCATTGTAAATTACTGACCCTCTTCTGTTAGCCATAACACACATAAACAAAGATGGAATAGTTGAGTAAGATATTTACGTTCAAATCTAACAATAACCCTGCTCTATAAACTACCCCAAGCCTAAACCTTTAAAAATAATTGACGATGTAGATTCGAGCTAAACCAATTAAAAGCTACAATTAATCATTGATAGTTAAATGCATCCCCGTGTTAAAATGAAATGACAATGTAGAAAGTATCGAAGAAATAGAAACATCACAATACAGGTATAAAGTAAGAATTAGAGGGAGGGAGGGGGTAGACAAAAACAAGTAGGGGTCACCGAGTACAACAACAAAAACAAACCCTCCTAGCTGGAGTTGGGGGGCCAAGGCTACAGAAGGCAGATGAGCATCTTCGTATCCTGGATACCCCGCTAAACGAAGGTCCGATTGTATCAGAGAGATCGATAGGACGGATAGACATGGCTAGATGAGATGGTGACGTGGGTGGGGGAGGGGAAGAGAGATCTACTCTCTCACTCTTGGTGGATGGTTTAGACTTTATAGCAGAATAGATCAACTTTTGGTGGATAGTTTTGACTTATGTACAGCAGAATAGATTAATTTATGGTGGATGATTTAGACTGATGTAGACTTATGTATAGCAGAATAGATCAACTTATGGTAGAAGATTTAGATGTAGTGAGGTTAATCAACCATTAGAGGATATTTTACTTAGGCAAATGTAGGTCCACTTTAGTGGTATATGGTGAGAGAAAATGGTTTACTGTGATATGTTTGGAAGATACAGTTTAAGTATTTCTGCCATAAAACACTAGCTATAGAACAAGAGGACAGGTTTAACTTAATGAGGATAAAAGAGCTGATGTAGACGAGAGACCTATGTATGATAAGACTAAGGTACTCACCACGTGTATTTGACACTCGGGTCTCGCCAGTGCTCGGTACTGGAGGCGAGAACTGTAGGGATGTTTCCTCTGGGGGAAAGAGAAAACAATGTTGTTAGTTAGACATAGCCCAGGGTACAACTAAAACGGCTCTGTAAACATATGACGTTGTAATTACAACTACATTGTGAACACGGTTAGTTTTAACTGCAACTAACGAATTCCAACAACACTTTAAAAAAAGAAGAAAAAAGGCGTTTGGGCGAAAGATTGAGAAAGAGCATTTTTTTCTTTACTGAACCGGGCATCTGGGTTCGAATTCTAGTCATGTTAGGACCTCTTCCCCACCCCTCTCCAACAAGCAGCTAAGAGCTGCGAAGGTGTAACTGTATTGGTCCAGCAGTCTCTTATTTTACTTGTTTTTTTTCAGGCATCGTACGATAGGGGTCATCCATTTTTGTGGACTTTTATAAGGAAAAAAGTGGGTTTTTTTTTTTTGGGGGGGGGGGGGGGGTAAAAAATCCAAAAAAAATTGTGGACGTCATTTGAATGACCCCCTACGACGGGTGGGGTTTGTGTCCCCTTCAGAGCACGCCCAAAGGGGGAAAGAAACATAAAAAGAAACCCTGATTATGTAAATTACGATATGCACTTCAAATGACCCATGGTTCCTTTAGTTCTTTAATGTCAGCGGTTTCTACAAAGCAGATTATAATATAACAAAACGAACATTGTTCTGTGTGCCACGGCACACTTACTGTAACCCGATGAGAAGACATGGTAGGGAAGGGGGAGACTCAAAGTCTACTGGTACAACTACACACCACTCTCCATAAATCAGATCGGATAAATCCTTTCAACTAAGTACCTATGCAGTCAAACCCCTGTAAATTTAGTGACAAAAACGGCGACTGCTGAATGGAGTGCAGCTGAATGAACGTAAGATGCATTAAGATGTCGCGCTAGTGGTTTACATGAATGGGAAGATATCTAGTCATAAGCTATTGATTAACGCCCTCTTTCAGATCTATATCAGGTGGGGGAATAGGCAATTAAACAGCCAGCTGACATTTATGGTTTGAGGTGGTGGAGGGGGGGGGGGGGGTGGTAACGGATGTTGACAGGTGAAGTGGTAGCGGTTTTAACGTTAGAAACGTTCGAGTTCACGGTCTGATACAGTTGTAAACACGGCACGAGGTGGGCTGTGGGGGTACGGTGGCGCTTGGTGGTCTTGGAGGTATGGTGGTTGGGGGGACTGTGCGACGTGCTGCTCTCGGTAGATCTGTAGAGCACGGTAGGCTGTATCTCGAGAAACATATGGTAGTTCATTCAACGTAGAGCATCGTGGTTTGTACGAAGTGGTGGTGTATATGACATTAAAGTATGTAGGAGAAGGTGGTCTTCAGAACATGGTGGTCTGTAAGATATGTTGGGCTTAAAGACATACTGTATACAACCTATGATATGGTAGTTTATTCAACGTCGGATATGGGGATCCGTATAGCAAGTTTTTCTGTAGGACTAGGTTGCCACTATACCCTGCACGACTAGGTTGCCACTATACCCTGTAGGACTAGGTTGCCACTATACCCTGTAGGACTAGGTTGCCACTATACCCTGTAGGACTAGGTTGCCACTATACCCTGCACGACTAGGTTGCCACTATACCCTGCACGACTAGGTTGCCACTATACCCTGCACGACTAGGTTGCCACTATACCCTGCACGACTAGGTTGCCATTATACCCTGCACGACTAGGTTGCCATTATACCCTGCACGACTAGGTTGCCACTACACCCTGTAGGACTAGGTTGCCACTATATCCTGTAGAACTAGGTTGCCACTACACCCTGTAGGACTAGGCTCCCACTATACCCTGCACGACTAGGATGCCACTATACCCTGCACGACTAGGTTGCCACTATATCCTGTAGGACTAGGTTGCCACTATATCCTGTAGAACTAGGTTGCCACTACACCCTGTAGGACTAGGCTCCCACTATACCCTGCACGACTAGGATGCCACTATACCCTGCACGACTAGGTTGCCACTATATCCTGTAGGACTAGGTTGCCACTATACCATGTAGGACTAGGTTACCACTATACCCTACAGAACTAGGTAGCCACTATACCATAGATCAGTTGTTTTTTTTCTGCCAAGGTGCAACTGGACTCATCCTGGTAATGTAGGCTTACAAACGCTACTGAGCTGATAGTTACACGTCATCACAATAAAGCACGGACGACTTGGGACGAAAACCCTCGCCATTTCGTAAGTTTTAACGAGCACCACAAGCAGCAACACCGTCTTCTCTTGACAAACACAACAGATGCATGGCTCAGTACTCGCCTCCCAGACGTTATTAGAGCACCGAGTTAATTTGTTTTATTATACAGTTATTATAAGAATTTAAATGATGGAGATTAAGCTCTTGATTTCGTTAGTGTAATCATCATAGAGAGCCCTACAGGCACAGTTTTTTAAGGGTGGGGATAGAGGAGTGGGGGGGGCGAGGATATTTGTCAATTTTTGCTTTTCTGTATTAATAGGTTGAAAACGTATCAACTTTTACTAACTTGGAACATAGATCTAAAAGTTAATAAGTGAATGAAACCTCGTCGAGGCACTCGCTGTTGACCAAAAAATACAACCCATTAGCTTACACTGGTAATGGGTGGAGGAATTGGTTGACTTATTCACTATACATTAGATATGATAATCGTGGTGAGTAGTTATACTATACACAACTCGAATGTCCAGGTATTATCATCAATAATTTCTAAAAGTGCCAGCAATATAGAATATACTTAACTGGGAACTACTAATCGACTTGTACCATAGATTGTTGACCGTGTACTCTTAAATCTATTTTGAAGCTTTATTGGGGTGGGTTGAAGAATAGGGGGGGGGGGGGGGGTTGACGAACACGAAAAAAAAAACCGCTTGAGATTTGAGATACACCGTAGGCTTGTTGGCAGTTGCCCTTTCAAGCCCGTGCTAATATATCGGGTGTTTGACTAGCCGGACCGAGCCTGCGGTCGAGTTCGTGTGGGTGGCGAGGGGTACGCGAGCTTGTCATAGCGAGGGCAATTTCACATTGAGATTTAGATAAGCTTTCACTTGTCGTTAGATGGGCTGATAAGGGAATGTTGTTAGTGTAGTGAAGGAATGTTAGTGTTGGGTGGGAGCTCGCTCGAACGTCGAAAGGCAAGAAGAACGAAGGGGGAGGGGGTGCCTGGACATGTTCATCATACTCATGATGTTGAAAAACATTGATAAGTAAGTTATTCGCCCCTGGCAACATTAGGTTAACACTGCTTTCGGGAACAAAGTTTAAGTGTAGTTTACATCAATCAACTTTATTTAGTGACTAATGACATTTGCAAATCCATTTCAGCATGTAACAAGTTATCAGGGGGATAAGCGTGAGAGCTCTAATATCCCACATCTTCTCGCTATTTTTTTTTTGACGGTTTCTTGTTACATTACTTTTAAAGATACTGCATTATATTACAAACCGTTTTTCACAATTCTGTACACTGTTTTGTGTGTATTTTTGTCTTCTTTACAAAAGAGACTGCGGATCAAACGTAGATTAATTTAAAACTACATCCGTCTATTACAGCGCAAGAAGAAAATGAATGAAGGCCGATGTGTGATTGTACACCATCCTGCCCTTTGGGCTTGTAATCCGTGTAAAGATGGGCTTTACAAAAGTTGAAGACAGTAATCTTCAACCGGACAAATAAATGCATGAACCATTAAAAAAAAACGCTGGCCTTCACGATAAATAGCTTGCTTCAACAATCATCATCCGAAAAACAGGGGGGGGGGAGAAAGAGACGTAAACTATACGATTCACGAAAGCCCAACACGCTTTATACGAGCATTTCTCATTAAGCCCCAAACCAAGCGAAAGGAAGACATGTTACCAGTAGCAACGCCTTTACTTCTAGAATAATCTACATCTTTTCCACCCTCCATTTTTTTTTACAACTCTCCGTAAATAATTCATCCCTTTCTCTGGATCATCCCTCCCTTATTTTTCTCTATGACAATAAACGTCTTTATCTCATCCCCTATCTCTTCTCCTCATAAGTCTCCGCCTCTTGCTGTCGCTATCCTCATTTCCTGTACGACGCTATCGATTGTACTCTAGTCAAAGGATATACCTTCATCGTCTTCAGCCCACAGCTACACATATGGTTCGCCCCACTCTGTTTGATACACTTTCTGTACAATCTATACTATATAATTACACTAACATACTATGTTTAAGGTACTTCAAGTTGAGCCGAAAACAGTGAAACTACTTAAAGCAGATTTAAACCCCCCTTCCTAATCCACAAAGCCAGACACCCCCTCCCCCTTTTCACCCTAGCATAAAACGACAGCATTAATTTCCACCTGGATATAATTATAATTGCATATTTTAAAAATTTTAATAAGTGATTTTTTTTTGCATGCCACCGTCTTATTTCTTGCCCCTTGACGTCATTTATCGATGATTCCCAAGGAAAGATTTTTATAGGATATATTTACTGTTATTGTTTAGTTTTGGTAGAAATCAAATTATATAAACAATCCTCCCCTTTTTTAAAAAATAATAACAAGTCCGAATGTCAGCTAAAATATTTTCTATTGACACTTGTTTTTCTTGAAATAAATAAAACAAGATTTCCCGTTACGAAAACACTTTGTCATCCCCCCTCCCCCATTATTTTCTAATCAAAAGCAAGGACGTGAACAAGACAAGACGGCCCTCGAGTTCATCTATTGAAGTTGTTGACGTGGCGGTGTCCTCGAGTGAGTTTTGACGAACGGAGCGAGCCTCCACGAGGGAGGAGAGCGCCGAGTGGTGTTTAGCGCTGCTGCAATTAAAAGATCACTCGAGAGAAAGAGAAAAATACAACCATCGTTAAATATCTGACATCAGCGGGTCTTGAGACTACGGGTAGAGGTGAAGTCAACAAGCCACAGGACACTAGGGTGAAATGGGCGGACAGGCGTACCTACATCCTGATTAGGTCAATGACCCTTGTTTTCACCTGTGATGTCAACTTAACTTAATATTTTGTAATTGTCTGATGTGTTCACATCCCACCTCACGTGCGGTGAGTATGTATCTTGTCAACAAGTTTCAATCAAAACAACAGGTCTACAGGTGTGTACAATTAGTCTACACGTGATCCTCTTTCGGATTCATGTACAAAGTGATTTGATTTTTATGGCGAATCAATCTTCGATCTCCGGCTATGCGAACGAGGTTTTTTTTATATCAGTTTCTGAGGTTGAAGTTAGATTTAGGGTCAGAATTAGTATTACTTTTTTGGTTGAGGTGTTGGGTAATGATAATATCTGAGAGGGGGGGGGGGGGTATTTTAATAACTGTTAATCATACAATTATTTGTATTTTACTAAAATAAAAGTTAAAAATAAATCTTCAGGATTAGCTTGACTTTTTCTAATGTGTTAAATCTTTTTTGTATGTCGGTTTATAAATACAACAATGTGTATGTAACTGCCAAATCCAAGAACATGTGTATTTTCAATTGGTCCGATCATTTCAATGGTTCCCAGAAAGATGTGCAACGGAAAAAAGCGCAAAACAAAATGCGCAACGGAAAAAAGCGCAAACAGAAAAAAGTGAGATCAAATGTGTGCGCAAATTTCTGTGTGCGCTTTTTTTTGGTTGCGCAATTTTCTGTTTGCGCTTTTTTCTGTTTGCGTTTTTTCTGGTTGCGTTTTTTTCTGTTCGCGCTTTTTTCTGTGTGCGTTTTTTTCTGTTGCGCTTTTTTCGGTTGCTCATCTTTCTGGTCGCCATAGGCAAATGTGGCTGAAAACTGGACAGCGGATGTCCGAAGTTTTATTCACTATGGCTATTTCGCTAGTGAGAACGCGAGCTATGCAAATATCACTGTTGTTAGGGTTACTGTTGGGTATTGGCAAAATCGGTTCAAAATTAAGGTGGTAATACTGGGGGATGGGGAGATTTTCAATGAGTTCTAAACGCTGTAACAAGTACCTATCTTTTTTTTAAAATGAAATCTTCAACCACAGACTTACAATGAGGGGGGGAGGGAGGGGGGCGGCTAGCAATTTTGAATACTCTAATTTAGCTACATCTTTTGATCAATATACGAATGTGTAAAGAATTCGCGAATTGGCCTCAAGTAATACTATGGTTTCAATGATGACACTGTAGAGGCTACAGCCCTTCATACTAGGCTACCGTGTAAGCTATTGGGTTGCAGAGCAAGCCATTTGGGGCTACAGTGTAAGGCATTGGGCTACAACTCAAGTCATTTGGGCTACAATGTAAGTCATTTGTGCCGCAGTGTAAGGCACTGGGCTACAACTTAAGTCATTTGGGCTACAATGTAAGTCATTTGTGCCGCAGTGTAAGGCATTGGGCTACAATGTAAGTCATTTGGGCTACAATGTAAGCCGTATGGGCTACAACGTAAGTCATTCGGGCTGCTGTGTAAGGCATTGGGCTACAACTTAAGTCATTTGGGCTACAATGTAAGCCGTATGGGCTACAAAGTAAGTCATTCGGTCTACAGTGTAAGGCATTGGGCTACAATGTAAGTCATTTGGGCTACAATGTAAGCCGTATGGGCTACAACGTAAGTCATTTGGGCTACAGTGTAAAGCATTGGGCTACAACTCAAGTCATTTGGGCTACAATGTAAGCCGTATGGGCTACAACGTAAGTCATTCGGGCTGCTGTGTAAGGCATTGGGCTACAACTTAAGTCATTTGGGCTACAATGTAAGCCGTATGGGCTACAACGTGTCATTCGGGCTGCTGTGTAAGCCATTGGGCTACAATGTTAGACACAGGCTATTAGGTTAGACATGTGTTAGTAAGTGTACATGAACAGGTTAGCGGTTAGCGTTACATTAGAACACGCCCAGACACAGGTCTGGTTGAGGATAGAAAGAGCTAGGTTTACCTGTTGGCGAGTACTGGACAGAATGAGGCAAATTAGCGTCATCTGAAACACACACCAGAATAACATTGGTGATACTTCAACATTAGCGCAAGTTTTTGTAAACTTACTAAATATACGGGAAACATACCTAGGGTGATACCTCAAAATTAGCGCAAGATTTCGTTAACTTACTAACTATACGGGAAATATACCTAGGGTGATATTTCAACATTAGAGCAGCTTTAGTAAAACTGCTAAATATACGGGAGACATAACTAGGGTTATATTTCAACAATGATGCAGCCTGATATATAGGAAATATACATTGGGGTAAGTTTTATCCCGCCACTAAAGCGTGTGTAATACTAAACAAAACGTGTTGGTTGCTAAATACGTACGTTTTCTTATAAGTACGAAATATTACTATATGTAATACCTGTTTTGTGAATAGTGGTAAATGCTATTACTGTTATAAGCTGTTTTATAAGTAGTTTCGTAAAACTACATGTAATTCATATTCAATGAATTGTTGGCAATACTGCATGTAATACTTATATAACGTATAAATAATTTATAACAATACTGTATTTTACAAACATTTAACAGTACAACAATACTTCCGGAAATCGACATTTTACTCGAAAGCAAAGCACCTCAACAAATAGGGAGGAGGAAGGTCACTGAAGTTCTCGAATGTACTCAGTTCGAAATCGAATTAGTAAAATATATTAAAATAGTGCAAGTAAAGTCAAGATCAGTGCATGATTCAGAAAACAAAATGTGTCAAGAACTAAGGTATTTTAATAATGGACCAAAAAAAAAAACGGATCTATTTCTTCAAGAGATAGCAGCCTCGTTATGTTTTGTGTGTTGATTTTTTTTTCTGTACACCCGCACTCGGTGCATGCGTCCTGTATTACACGATGATTGCTCACAAATTCATGACTAGTCAAAATGTCATTTTTCAAGGTGTTCACAGACACGACTGCTGTTAGCATTGAGTTTTCATATTAGTTTCTACAGGACAGTGACTCAACATTGGCAATAGCTCCTGTTACAGCTAACTTGGGACTACTACAGCAATGTATTAAATTTGACATGTCCACAGTACAACCACCTTGACATTTTTATCAATAATCAACTTGCTGTTGCATTAAATTTTGGCACTTCTTAAGTATTGATATTTGCATTTCTACAATCAGCTTGACATTCTTAGAGTCAATCCGTCATTTCTTCAGCTGAACAGTTAACTTGATATATCATCTACAGTAAACTTGGCAATCCTCTACTAATGACACTACAGTCAACTTGGCATTTGTACAATAACTTGCCACCTTTTAAAGTCAACTTTTCATTCCTCCACAAATGATACAACAGTCAACTTTTCATTCTTCCACAAATGATACAACAGTCAACTTTTCATTCTTCCACAAATGATACAACAGTCAACCTTTCATTCCTACAGTAATGACACTAGTCAACTTAGCATTTCTACAATAACTTGCCACCTCTAAAGTCAACTTTTCATTCCTCCAGTAATGACACCAGTCAACTTGGCATTTCTACAATAACTTGCCACCTCTAAAGTCAACTTTTCATTCCTCCAGTAATGACACGATAGTCGACTTGGCATTTCTCCACAAATGATACAACAGTCAACTTCTCATTCCTACAGTAATGACACTAGTCAACTTAGCATTTCTACAATAACTTGCCACCTCTAAAGTCAACTTTTCATTCCTCCAGTAATGACACCAGTCAACTTGGCATTTCTACAATAACTTGCCACCTCTAAAGTCAACTTTTCATTCCTTCAATAATGATGCAAGTCAACTTTTTACTCTTCCACAATTTTCATTCCTACAGTAATGACACCAGTCAACTTGACAGAAAATGTACCACTTCTACAGTCAACGTTTCATGCCTCCGCTAATGAAACCACAGTCAACTTGGCATTTCCACCAATACCCACAACCAACTTGACACTTGCACAACAGTGCAGCCCCACATCAACCGACCTAACGAGGCGGCACACGTTTTACTCCTTATTTCCGGCTCCTTTACTCCCCAAGTACCGACCACGACGTCCAAATTGAGAGAGAAAAAAAAACTATTTGCCAAATGTTTATGAAAAAACCTAACGAAATAGTCATCGATTTATAGTTGTTTTGTGCCGAGCTAGCTGACCTCGCGTGGGTTTCAATCTATGTGAAAGGTTTTTACTTCCTTTTTAATATTCGATGATGGGCGGATAGAACAGGCCGTGACTAAGTTTACTTATGGTAAAAAAAACAAGACATGAAAGTCTGTTTAGAATTGACATGGAAACTACTTTAAATGTTTAATAAACAATTATTATACAAATTAGCCTAGAGATTTATTTTTATGCATAGTTAAAAAGGTATACAAATAATAATTAAAACACAGAAAAAAAAACAACCATCACTACTATAAAACCTATGATGTTTTAAACAATTAACAAGGAGGCGAAGACACCACAGCAACTAGTTAGCATTACCTGTGATAAACGGTTCAAATATAAACCTCGGAATTGTAAGGCCTCAAGGTGTGAAGTGACCTTTTGACCCCGGCTCTATGTGATCAACGCGAATCTTAGTTTCAGGCTAACCCTGATACACCTGACAGCATCCTATCTCTTCAGTATTTACTTGTTTTTCGTTTATTGATTTGTACGAGACTGAATTTGTAAATTTGTACTATATTTATTTTATGATAGTCACTAATTTTTAAACGCCCCTCGCTATTTACTTCCTATTGTATTATTGTATCAAGAAAAAATAAGTTTAAATTTAGAAATTTAAATTTCTTTATTAAAAAAAAAATTGAATTGAAAGCAATGGCTCTAAACTCATGAAAAAAAAAAGAAGTCTATGTTTAAAACAAACAAAAAATCACCCACCTGTTCCAATGGACAACCGCCCCTCGCTATTGCTCGGGGAGTAGGGAACAGGGTGTGGTGTGCTGGACGCAGGATCCTCTGAAAACAACGAGCATCACACGAGTTTAGGCCTATGTTCTTGTCGCAAGTCTTCGGCGGAACCCGAGGTCACATAACACGGGCACTTACAGGGCGGGTGGTTTTCTTAATGTGATGGTATCGTGACCCTAAATTTAACCTTAACCCAAAACTTTAACAAACGTCACTAACATTAGGAGAATTAACAGCTGGATACGTTAGTTATTGCTGGTTAAGCGAGAAGAACTTCGTTATTATTTTATTTTTATTTTTTTGAAGGAGATATCCACCAACACTATCGGGTATTACGTGCCAATATTGCTAATTTGCCCGTTTACTCCGACTCCAACCCGCTTTTCCTTCTGTATTTGCTTCCATCCAAAAACAATATGCAAGGTTGCTATTGTTTTGGTTCTAGAGTTCTCTCTCCTAGATAGGTTGCTGTCCCCACCTAACAAACCTTATCTACCCGGGATCCGAACTCGGAACTTTTGGAGTAAACAATCACACGCTTTCCCTCACCCAGAAGAACAAACCATTTTGTAGTTTCAAGCTATCTACCAGTTGCGTGAAAAGTACTAGTCATACATTAAAAAACCTAGTGCGACATTTAAACTATAGAGGACCCGATGAATAAGTTTTAAACGCGATTTTAACACGCAAGGACCTCGGGTTACGCAATGTAAAATTTACACACCTAGAATGGAAACTAAACAAACTTCTACCGGGCGTTCTAATTAATAAACTACATGACTTAAAATCTAGAAAGATTGTAAGAGTGTCAGCATACAGGCGTATTGAATAAATGGTGGTGTGCATATCGGTTATGCCTAAGGAAAGGTGGTAGGCATATCGGTTATATCAGGGCATGTGGCGGGCATATCGAATATGTAAGGAGGCAGGTAGGGGCAGAACGAATATGATATTAAGCCGCCGGAAACTACGTAGGCGACGTAAAATAGTTAAATTATATAAGAGGCGTTTTAACTATAAATAGAACCGCTCCCGTGTGAACAGATAATTAAAATCGAGTCGAATATGAACCGGTGTTAACACAGAAACACTCCCATTGGAAGAATGTTTTTTTTTTAGACAGAGATAGTCATCGCTCTATAGGTTTTAACCTTATCACTCTTTGCTGCTATTGAAAAGATGCGTACAAAAAACATCTCTATTTTGTCGTGCACGATATACAATTTCTGTGTGGGAAGTAATAAGAGGGTGGGTGGGGGGGGGGGGGGGGGAGATCGCCTTAAGTGGAAAATCACTCATAAGGGGAGGGTAAAGGTAACACCTGTAAATTAAATATTTGTAACTAAAGTAAGTTAGAAAAACTGGACCAACAAAACTGTATCAAGATGTTTGACAATCTGGAAACTATTACTTTTAGAGTAAAAGTGTCATTAGGACATTGATCAACAGTTGAATTAAGACATTGATCAACAGTTGAATTAGGACCTAATTGATTATTTTTCATCTGAGAAGCCTAACCCAAAAGTCGGACGGATGGGTTAAACCTAGATAATGACGTGGACTCACCTCTGATGATGGTCATCACTGATTCACCCGACACGGCCTGAGACACGGGCGGGATGTACGATGCCCCATCTTCGTCTGAAAACGGTGGATGAAACCATGGTTAGAAAACGATGGATGAAACAATTGTTAGAAAACGATGGATGAAACAATTGTTAGAAAACGATGGATGAAACAATTGTTAGAAAACGATGGATGAAACAGTTGTTAGAAAACGATGGATGAAACATTTATTAGAAAACGATGGATGAAACAATTATTAGAAAATACAAACACAACGTGTCCTACTTTTACAGTGGCCATGATCCTACAAACGCCTTATTGTATGTTAATATTAGTGTTTTATCATTCAACAGTAATTTGCCACATGTGTCCTAACAGCTTGTATGTGTGTTGTGAGGGAGGGGGAGGTGATTTACAATCAAAATACGAGTTGTTGAATGCCAGTTATGAAAAACTTTTTTTTAAGGCAAACCTACGACTACAACACTGAATTATGTGTGTTTAAACTCATGATTTTCGTATAATTGAAGGATAAGAATAAAGGATACGTAAACAAGCGAAACTATGTTGACTACGTCTACTTTTCACAAAACCCGATACAGTTGTTTGCGCTGTATGGACTCAACTGCTGAGAAATATTGGTATTGTTACTTTTGTGCTTGTTTTACTGTTATCTACCCGGCAGGGGTAACAAGGTTGGCTAGACAACGCTAATACCTTGACTGTATCAGTATTTGAACCTTCTATTGTTGAGAAATGTATTTGCTTTACTGTCGGACTTGTTTACTGGGTGTCTGTGTGTATTTTTCGGCAGGGGTCATATTTTTTATGAGTAAGGTCAGCACGAGACTTCTCCGTTAATCTATAATGGTCAGATTGGGCTCATGAATAATCTCTATACTAAAATTTTAGCCGGATCGGTATTCAAAACTTAAATTCTTACGTTGGTAGTGAACTGGGACTTATTCATACTACTATAAACGTGTAAATTTTTTAACAACATATTCTCCGTGAAATAAACGCGTAATATCAACCGTTTATTACAGAATTGAAAACGGCGAACACGACAAAGTGAACCCAATTGAAGCGAGTTGCGCTCATCAAAGAGGATTCGATTACAAGCCGGGCGTAGATAAGGCGTAACTCTAGTGTAAGGACGAGTTTAGGGTGAAGATAAAGGGACGTCCGGAGTGAGGCGATTGGTTGTGTGTGGACCATGGCGAGGACGTGGTCAGATAATGGAAGGAGAGTCTTACTTCAAGTTGGTGGATGGTCTAGCCTGTCGCTAGATAGTGGGGGGCGGGTGGGGGCGTCGTCCTTACCAGGTGTGAGGGGGGGGGGGGGGAGGGAAGAGAACTTCACAATATAAAATTGTTTTATGGCACTGTTAATTTGTTTAAAGCATCAAAAATAGCTTGGATACAAATAAACTAAAAAAATTCAATTTTTTTTTTACAAAACAAAATTTGCCTTTCGCGTGTGGTGCCGTCAATAGAGATGAGAAGTTGCATTAGTAGTTGTGTCGGCATGAAAAAAATACGACTAAGTGCCTCACAGTTGTATGCCACTACTTATGGGCTACTTGATGCCTCTAAAGCAAGCTTGTGTTAAGGCGTGTATGTACGAGATACATACATTTTCATCATCTGTTGTTTGCCACACTGCATGCAGTAAAAACTAAGACGACCAGGTCGAGTATACAAAACGCTGACCAAAAGTGAGTTCGGTCTCCCAGAGTTCACCCAGCTCTAATTGTATTTGCTTTAAAACAGCGGCTAGGAATATTGTTATGTCAAAGTAATACGCGAACCTTACTTCATCAGTACAAAATCAAAGGACCATTTTTTTTCACACGTAATAAAAACAACTAAGAATTTCAAGTATGCGCTGCAATAAATTAGCGAACCATCGTCTTATTAAAATAACCAATAGCCCATAGCCTTTGATGAACGAGAATCATCCAATACTGCACCGGTGTGCAAAGCAGAGCGTAGGCGTGTCCGATGATTTGGACAATAAGCGTAGAACAAAAGTCAACAAAGCCCTATCTTAATTGAATAACTCAACAGGTGGCTGGAGTACTAAGTCCAAGGTGGACTTGGGTTTAAGTCAATCTCGTACGGGAGTCACGGGGTACACGCTAGAGTTCATAGACACCGAGATAACTCGTTCAATCAGGGTTTTTTTTTTAAACCGCTTAATTGGAATTGTTCGGTTCGAATAAATATACGCGCAAAAAGTAATCAACAGATTGATGATATGCTGAACAAAGTGGATTTATTTCTTAAATTACTTGATGAGTAACTGGACACTTTTATTTTACTGAAAATAGCGATATAACATATTTTACGCATTTTTTACTGGGCGAAATATGAAGTAGAATGTATTGTTTTAATATGACCGATAATGGGGAAGTATAAGCACAAAGGGACAACCGAACTGAAAACTTCGGATTGGCAATCGCGTACTATGCTTGACCACAATTCCATAATTTTCAAAATGACTAATCAATACTGACATCGTAATGTGTTGTAGATTATTTTTCAAACAATAAATTAGACACAAACACATACACATAATATACATAAACATATACACATACATATGACGAAAAAGACTAACTGTGAGGACACTACACAAGTGACTGACATATAAAATCATATCCTACACGAGGCTTTATCTCCCGAGTGACGTCTCTAGGACGAGACCGGCTTGGATTAACCGACAGAAAGACGGTGGCAAAGTTCAACGATGGATAGCGGATACCTTCACAAACACACGGGGCACGGTGTGACGGGCCCAACTGATTTCTTCTACACTGTAGGGGGGGGGGGGGTGAAATTATTCTATGAACTATTCGAAATGTAATATAACAGAAACAAAGCACGCTTTTCCCATGATCTTTTAATACAATGGTATTCAATGGTACAACCTTTCCGTGTATGTACGAGATCTAGGTTTGTATAGAAAAAGGTTGGAAGATTATATCTAACAGAATACTATCGCTGTTTCTGTATAGCATTCATCAAGGCCTAATGTGGTGTATCTCTAATTGGTTTACTGTAACTTTAGCCACATTTGTTATTATACTTTTTTATCATCCCACGAACTCAAGTTCAGTTGTTGAATATCAAAAAACACTTTCATTAAAATGCTAATGTAGTAATAGTAGTATACATTCCGAATTAATTCAATAATGAATACTTAGCTAAATATAAACATTGAAAGCTCGATATTTAGGAATAGGTCATTATATTGATCTCTACACTGAAACGCAATGAAAACATAGCTAAATATAACAAAGAAACCTTGATATTTAGGAATAGTTTATTATACTGATCTCTAAATTGAAACTAATACAACTGAAACGAAAACACATTTACTGTTGATCTTTACAAGAAAAAGATACAAACTTGCACTACAATAGATATTTTACAGTCTAACTCTATACACAACATATATCTAATAGATACTCATAAAGTAATAGAGAATAGATATCAGACAAACTAGATAGATCAGCACAATAAAGGTGAGTGAACTCTGAACTATTTAAAACAAGCCAAGAAAAAAAAAACGCCCTTCCTGCTGGTAGCAGCTTGGAATTGGGCCAAATCCCCCCTCCTCCCCTCCCCCGGTTCGGAGCAACATGGATTTGTCCCAATTTAAAGCGCTGAGCTACTAAACAGGTCAAGGCAATTTTTAGCTGATCTCTCTTGCTGGTTTATCTCTACTGACGTTGATGTTATTTGTGTTGGTTTCGTGCATTTATTTATACAGCATAGGATGAAGATTGGTGATTATGGCAATTTAGACAATAATATATCGAAACTAGTGGAGTTTTTTTGTGAGGGGGAGTGGGGTACAATTGACAGAAGTAAATTTAGTAGCAAGAACTAAAAAAAACACTATATGTACCGTGGCTTGAATGTTTTACCACCGCGATAAAAATGGACATGACAAGATTTTAACTAGTGAAATGTCAAGTAAATAATTTTAGATTACATTTACTTTATCGTATTTCCCAATACATCCTCCCATTATCAAACCAAGTAGATCTAGATCTAGTTGTTTACAACAAGAACCTAACGATACTGACATTGGCTTGGGTGCAAGGATTAGCTGTAAGGTAAGACAGCTGACATCTTACCTTGCCAGTGTTGAATTACTGAGTTACTGACATAGCTAATTAAACAGCGGGAGGTTCGTTAACGTGGGGCTTGCAGTATTTAATATGTAGACGAACATTCAGCGCTGAACTAACGAACGTATAATTTGGACCCCATGATATATCGATGATATAACTGATTTGTCTCTTATAAGTAAAGTAAAGTTTCCCTTCAAACCTGACGGTCTATGGGGCAAGTGAAGTAGAGTTCACTTGTTTCTGTGACCTCGGCATATGAAGAGATAGTGTGGTCAGCACTATGCCCAGCCGCCTTTACTCTCCCTAACGTGAGTTAGGTACCCATCAGAGTTGGGTGGACTCAGGGACGGTCTGCTGACTTGAACCCGGATTCGAACTCGAGACTTACGGGTTAGCAGTCCAGCTCTCTACAGCTAGACCACTCCGTCCCATATTTGTCTCTTATAGTCCCTCGTATATCATTGAACTTACTTGTCATTTACACCCCCATATGCATCGATACATTGACGAATTTGCCATTTAGACACTCATGATACATCAATGATTAGTTATTTAGATCCCCATATATCGATATATTGACGAATCTATCATATAGACCAGTGGTTCCCAACCTTTTTCGAGTGGCGACCCCCTTTTATAAAAAGTAAGTGACCCGCGACCCCCATAGAATTAAAAAGCCGAAATTAGTATGGAAATTAATAAGCACTAAAATAAGATTTTCTAGTAGACTTTCAATATGAACTACTCTTGATAACTGTTTTAATAGCGTGAGTAAAATTGCATACTATTCACTAAACCTTCGTGGTTAACTTTTTAATTAAATTTTTTTTTTGTTAACACCAACCTATGTCATTATAATTATCTTAATTTTGTTTTTAATCGAAGAATAGTGTTGAAAATGTATTCTCGAAAAGTCAATCAATCTTATGTT